GTGTTAACCAATCATACTGAGCGCTCACTCAACAGTTGTGTCTGCTGAACGCGGCCATTCATACTGAGCGCTCACTCAACAGTTGTGCCTGCTGAACGTGGCCATTAAGAAATCGTTGAGCACTCACTCAACAGTTGTGTCTGCTGAACGCGGCCAATGGCTGCGTTCAGCAGACACAACTGTTGAGTGAGCGCTCAGTATGATTGGTTAATACTTTTAGATCCAGCCAATCATATTAAGAAATCACTGAGCGCTCACTCAACAGTTGTGTCTGCTGAACGCGGCCAATGTGTGCTCCCCGCTTGACGACGAACAAGGTCCGCGCATGCGCGGTTGCACGGCCGTTGGCAGACGGGCTCGGTCTCTCACTTCTCAGCCGCGCGCGTGTTCCGCCGTGTGCGCTCGCGGCGGTTCGCGACGACGTCGCGCATCATGCGGCGCAATACCACGGCGGGTTGCGGGATTTTCCCGGTCCTAACCTCGAGGCAGCGATCTATGGAGGCACTGTGCGCGCGCGGAATCGCTGGAATCGTGCTCTCGCTCTACGCTTTTCCAAAATTTCCGAAGCGTAGGGCGATGCGTCCCAGTTCCAGACAGATATAACGATAGTCGGCCGATGAGGGAGGGACACGGGAGGAAGAAGATTCTGAACGTTGTAAGAGAATTCGTGGTGTAATGTTGTGCGCTCGCGAAGCTGCTGCCTGCTGCTGCCTCGTATGAGATCTGTCGGCATTTCGCTGTGAACTTACCCTCCCTTTTTAACGCGCGCGTCTGTTTCGCAGGGGGAAAAAAGATGAAGATACACTTGCGATTCTACACCGTATGTGGCGACCGCGTTGCTGGAGAATGCGCGTGCGGTTATGGTGAGGTGCGTTCGGCGTGAGACTCTGAACCTGGCATGTGAGCGGAATAGCAGTATTGCAATAACGCTGTTGGTAAAATTATCGTCGTTCGGCGACGATATCGATTGTCAGCGAGCTATTTCGATCGCCTGAAATATGAGCGCCGAGGAGAGACTTGTCACCGAGGTGCCTAGCAGCCTGAAGAAACTGGCGCGTCTTGTCGTGCGTGGATTTTACACGATAGAGGATGTTTTAATTGTGGATATGCTGGTCAGGAATCCATGTAAGTAATCGCGCACTGAGGCGATCTAGGGAGTCACTCGCGGTCGCGGCAATACTTGATTAATATGACGAAATTACGCCAGGCATGAAGGAAGACGACATTTGTGAATTGCTCAAGTTCGAAAAGAAGATGTTGAGGGCCAGGATATCCACGTTGCGCAATGACAAGTTCATTCAAGTGAGGTTGAAGATGGAGACTGGGTCGGACGGCAAGGCGCAGAAAGTCAACTATTACTTTATTAATTATAAGGTATTTAAAGCGACTGCGACTTTCTTCAACTCGGCAGAAAGTGCCAGCGACTAGGAGAACGACTGATTGGCGTTGTATCTTTATTTCAGACGTTTGTAAATGTGGTGAAGTATAAGCTAGATTTAATGAGGAAGAAAATGGAAACTGAGGAGAGGGAAGCAACTAGTAGAGCTAGCTTTAAGTGTCCGAGTTGCTTAAAGACATTCACCGATCTCGAGGTAAGTACGGCAATATGGTGTAAGTGCTGCAAGTGATAAGATCTTGGAAATTAGATTAATTGGAAGAAAGTGAAACTTTGCCCTTGTCCTGTTTTTCTATGTCCTTATCTTACGATCAATCAACATGATAACTGAAATAGTACATTATATTGCAATATCATAGTATAACTAGTAGGTGCTATTCTGTCATTTGTTTCGTTTTGTGTCGATCTCTTCTGCGCATCCGACATTGTTCTGGGCAGACCAATGAGAGAAAAGTTGTATGTGCGGTAGTGTGGCTTTGACGAGTATGTATACAAACGCGCGTCGCTAGATCCTGCTGATCGGGACCGCAGGGATCCAAGAGGCCGACAGAGAATGGACTTACTCGTTATACTATGGTAATCGAATTTGGAACACGGACAAATTTTATGAAATTCCTGAGCAGGCGGATCAACTTTTTGACATGAGAACCGGCGAGTTTAGATGTACATATTGTCGGGAAATAGTGGAGGAAGATCAGTCTGCTCTTCCAAAGAAAGATTCCAGATTATTATTAGCAAAGTTCAACGAACAGATGGAGCCGCTCTATATACTATTGAGGGAAGTAGAAGGAATCAAATTGGCGCCTGAAATACTGGAGCCGGAACCCATTGATATTAACATTATTCGAGGGTGCGTATTTCTAAAGATGCATTCGTATATTGAAAGTGTTTGTCTTGTTAAAATAATTATATCCACGATAGTATCGACACGAGAAAACCGAGCAGCCTTAGAGCACCCAACGAACAGTGGTCGGGTGAAGCGACTAGAATGGCAGGCTTCATGGTGGAGGACACGAGAGTGGACGTTACCATCGGAAACGAGTCTCCCGATGACAGTGCGTCGAATCACAGAAAGGAAAGGCCGATATGGATGATGGAGAGCACAGTTCTCAATTCCGACGGTTCACAGGTATCTTCCGTCGTTCCGTCGTGTCGTCTCTCTATGGATATCTTGGTCTTAATTCGCGAATGTCTTGCAGCCTGACGGCGTGAATGCGCAAGATAGCATCCTGGATAAAGCCGCAGCCACTGCCACAAACACGACTACGACGAACAATAAGCAAGGCGAGGATATAATGTCGGTATTGCTGGCTCATGAGAAGAAGGGCGGCACCAATTCCGCGACGTCCATCAAAGCAGCGCTTCCACAGGAGTCCAGCGATAGCAGCGATAACGAGGAGGACACGGAAATGCAGGCGGTTGACACCGGTAAGAAAAAATTCTATCGAGAGATTCCGATAATGAGACGATCGAGCGTCTAAAAGTCAAGAGAATAGTAGTAAGACGAAAACATCCGCGCTAATTAATCAGTACCTTCTTTAATAATACAATTGTCGAACCCCGATTTACAGGCGAGGTAGAGGCGATGGATTCCGACGACGATGAATTGGTACCGACCGTGAGTGTCGGCGGCAAGACCGTCGCGATCACCGACGTAAACAACACGTTGATCGCAGAAATGACGCCCATAGAGAGGGAGTCTTACATCCAGACGTATCAGGAATACTACTCGCATATATACGACTAAGACGAAGAACAACGGGAGTCGTCTTCACAATGCTCTGCATAAGACTGATATTGATTTGGTATCGTTGTTCCCTGTAATATTTTGTATAGCCACAAAATACATATAATTTTTGATAACTATGCGACGATCTTTCACGGCGACGTAGTGTAGATTCCTGACAGTATCACCCTGTATTTCTGTGTATCGATAAGTGTCAGGCGGGCGCGTGTATTTGCTGTAGCACTCGAAGGATTGATCGGTTTTGAAAAGAGAAAAGATAAAAGGTGCATTTTTACAGTTTCATATGTATTTTCTAATGTAATTGCAACTGAACAGTACCGTCAATCGACAGTTCTTTACTAATAAACAATTGAATGTGTGGAGTACCGTAAAACATAAGAAATTAATTGGGGACGAATAATATACCATGTCACTTCTGGTAAGACGGGAAACTTTTAAACTTAAACGTGGATTAGATTAGTTTACTTGACGTTCTTTCTTTTTCTTTTTTTGGCTCGTCTCGCAGCGAATTTCTGTCCAACCACCACCATTGCGCAGAAATTCCGAGACGATTTTGTTTTTACATATTTAAGTTATCTTTTCGCTTTTTTTATATTTTTTTCATTTTTTTGTTTAGTAACAGTTCCATAATATTATAATACAGTTAATTTTAATGTCTCTTTTTAACCTACATTCACTGAATACAGCTCGTCCACGTCAAAAGAATCCAAAGAGGATGCAGATTCTACATGAAACATTTAAAATTATTTTATTTTGAAATATTGTGTATGTTTCCAATCATGTATATTTGTTTTAAATTTATAATGTTAATATCTAAGAGGTAAAACTCGATTTTAAACGCGAAGAATAATCTACCACGAGTAGAAAGCTCAGGATTCTTTTGAAGTAATCCGTCGCAAAGTAGAAAGCGCTAGTCTCGCTCTTTTTTTTCTCTCTCTTTCTCTGATTTACTCTGGTTCGTTCAAACGCAAACGAGCAAAGTCTTCAAATATGATATTGTCGTCGTCATCGTTGGCGTAGCAAGAGTTCTCGTACCGTGCTCTCTCAATGCTCTTGCCTTTCTTTAATACGGCATTTTCCTTTTCAATGGCACCTGCAAAGTAAAAAATCGCTTGCATAAATTCGAATGAGCAATTTGATTTAAATTCTAAATTCAACCATGTTTCTTGTCTAAATACAAAGGTAAAATATTTTGTCTAAGATATAAGAATATTCCAAGCGACATATACCAGGGGTCGGATGCATCAGTTTGAATGGAACATCGGTGACCAGCTCGCCACCCAGAGTACCGCAATTCAACTTTACTCGGATCGAATAAGAAATTACGATACCCAAGGCTTCAGCCGGGCACTTGCCCTCGGCTACCAGTGTTGAGGATGCCAAGTTTACGTCGTCATCCTAAATCGGACAATCAAAAAGAATTTTTCTATATTATTAACAATTTACACAATATTAATACGTCATTAATATTTGTATTGTGTTATTAGTGTTTTATATATTGATTTCTATATTATATTAAAATATTGGTTTTTACATATTAATATTTTTAAACAAATACACTACATATAATATTGATAAAGCGTATTGTATAATCTTTTATGTATTTTAGCAGCGTAACATGTCATGAAAGAAAAGAGACATAACCATTGATAAAATAATAATTTAACCCTTTCAAATTTGTTCAAGCTCGTTACGCACTTTGAGATGCCCGTCGAGAGCGATGCCACGCCGATCCTTGTTGCTGCTGGCCAAAGGCACAAGATAGAATTGTTTCGTGAAGGATGCACCCGGTGTGATCGGGCAACCCTCGCGAGTCTCCAAGCTAGCCACGTGTCGCGAAAATTGGGCGTTTACCATAGTCACCTCGCAATGTTGAACCACGAACATCTGCAAGGAAGAAACGACTATAGCGGCAAAACGCGACAAGTAGAAATTTTTTCAAAATTTTAATTGTAAAGTAGATACCTTGATGTTCTTCACCGCCTTTCGTGAATTATTCGTAACTGTGACATTCGCTGCAACCTTCTCGCCGTGATAATAGATTTCTCTGTCCAATGTGACTTCCAGATTCAGTTTACCCTGAGAGAAGGTGAATCCCTTAGAAATCAAAGAGCTGGGAAGTCGGCGGCCTCGCGTCGGTGGGGCGTACTGCAGCTTCTTGATGGCCAACGAGACAGAGGACCTTTTGTGTCCCTGATAAAATAAAAAACAGATTTGTGCAGAAACTCTTTACTTGAAAATTTTCTATACATTATATTAATGTGTTTTTATATGATGCATTAACTTCTTCATATGTATATCTTATATTTCATCTCGATACCTTGTCTTCTTCGTTGTCTCCAACGAATATTTTCACGGCATATTCGACTCCTAGGGGTTTTCCTTGATCATCGTCGCCAGGTTGTAGGGTGACCGAGCTAGGAGCCGTCTGTGGAAATTGGAACGTGAATGGATACGCGTTCGAACCCAGGCGCCTCACCAAGCGATCCTGAATCGACGTAGTCTCCTGCTTCTCCTTTTTCTGCGGTATCAATTGTTCCTGACACAATACTAGCTCCTTGCTGAATTTGACTCCCATCACTTCGTCCTCCTCACGGCCATATCGGTAGGTTGTCGAGACCTAAACGCAAGATAACGTTAAACGTCAAGTGGAAAATGTGATGAACGTCTGTCAGGAATTGTCTGAGAACACTCGCAGGGAATGTCCTCTTTTTTTACCAACCTGGCCAAAGACCTTGCGCCCTTGAAGGTAATCATTCTCCACGACGAGAACACCGTCGATAGGATCGGTGTGACCTAGATGATCGATAAAGTCTCTCTTGCCCAGATATACCGTGATTTTGCCTGAACAAGATATTTTAACGTGACCATTATTAAGTGCGGATTGTTGAGGAAGACAAGAAATAGAGACGAGCGTACTCACCATTAGGAGTGGTCTTCTTGAATACCTTGACGGCCGCGACGAAGATCGAAAGCAATATAGGGAACATCTGGCGCTGTTTTTTTTTCCTAAACGAACAAGTGATTTAGCAGAGAAATTTATTTCCCGCCCAGAAGTGACACGTCCCCGGCACCCAGTCCGGATCCTCATATAGTCTTGCCGGGGCTTCCCTCGTCTCGAAGCCGTACTACTAGTAATACTGCTAATAGAATTACTTCGTTATAAAACTGATTTAAGTGGATTGCGAGCTACGTGTAACATAAAGAGGAATCGTCATTTTAGATAATTGCGCTTAATAAATCATAAATATTCAACAACACGCGGTAACATTGCAAGTATCTACACTTGCATGTACAATATATTTCATCGCGAGATTCCGGTACAAGTCATGAACCGAGTCGTTATGCAGTAATTGTGTCTATTGTACAAAAGGCTGGTAACAATTGCGCTGGGAGGGGGATAAGAGATTCTCACGCGTCTTCAGTCTTAAGTTTATTTCGATAATGAATGTTTACACAATAATACGGAGGTATTTTCTGCAGTTTAAACAAAATCCCCTGAATTGGTTAAACGGTCGCTCGTGCGCGTTTCCACGATTTTCTTCAACGGTAAACGATACCTATTGCGAGCTTCAAGTAGACATTACTTAGTGTTAATAATTAAACCCACTTATACTTCTTCTCTCTTTCTCTCTCGTAATTTATTTCCTTTCTTCACATTCAATAGTCGATAGACAGTCGATGTAACATATATATACTTTTCTGTGTATACGTGTGTGAGCGTGAACACCATCGGCGTAACGATGCTCCCAAAAATATTGTGGTAACTGAGAGACACTTTCTTTCCTTTCTTTTGCGCAATATGAAAAAGGCAGTAGTAATTCGAATGCCCCTCGAAATTGTATCGCTTCCCAAGACAATCGTGACCATAGGCATATAGTCGATCGAAAGATCACTTTACATTGTGCTTACAGAACTTTCCACTTGGTGCTCTAAAATGCTTTCTTTTTTTTTTTTAATACTCGGCGGAACAGAATTTTCACGCTGGAACACGAAAAAAATGCACGCAGCCACCAAGACTCGCAGGATTCTTATCTTAATCGAGTAAAAAAAAAAGGGGAAGAAAATATATCGCGCGCAGGATGTAGTACTCCACGTACAACTGGACTGCTATAAACTATAAAAAATTTTTTTCACGCCGGCGATAACAGTAAATAATAACATAGTAATAGTAATAATCGTGACAAATATGTCTAATAATAGGCACAGTTAAAGAGTACGATATATAGTTATATTCATTATTCAGCACTTTTTTTTTAATTACAACTACAGAAATTCGTTGCTACCAGGGAACAGAAATGCTGTGCGTGACGAGATTTTATGAAATCTTTATTCCAAATAGTTACGCTTCACAATGCCTTCGTACAATACCTACTATAATCTACAATATTATCCCGACACTTTTACAGCTCTCGTAACGTTTATATCTTAAATGAGATCGTTCCTTTTCTTTTTACAAGAATTTTACTTGAAAGACAATAAGAAAACAACAGGGAAAACATTCAATTTTACCTTTTTATAATTATTAATCTTAGTAAAACAGAAAATTTTCTAGGCAAAGAAAACATTAAGGTTTAATGCGAGCGCATTGTAACTCGCGAATCAATCAAAACAAATTCAGCACAATTTAACAAGTTATTACATTAACGTATTCTTGTAGATTTCAGTTTACAAGTAAAAGACATAGAGTTATTTAATTTCTTAATTTACGCAATCATACATCGAATTCTAAATACCGTTCCACTCCTCGCCGAGCAGTTAGGATTCGAGAAAGGCAATCATTCGCGAATGCACGCTGTCTCTTACCTCAAAAGTCGCAAAATGTCATCTCACACGTTTGCAATAAGATGCTTAGAGCATTGGTTGCCGTATATACTTGAGCAATATCTAAACTGTCGTAGCATCAAGACAAACGAACAAAAAAAACTTACTGAAATACCTTACTTAGTATTCGACACAATGCTCTATCTGTATGATAAGCACAGAATCTCCAAAATTTCTGCCCGTTTTACAATATCCCAAACAACAAGCTAAGAGAAAAATATATCCGTGTGATAAGCTAGAAAGAAATCTCTCAGCTTTTTCTCTTTCGCACACATTCTCTCTCTCTCTCTCTCTCGCTCTCGCTCTCTCAGCTGGATATCAAGCCTCGCGGCGCTATAGTCTTGCACTGTGTACACATATCGTATTTTTAACCGTAATAACATTTGTACATAAGTAGAATCAGTTCCCTGATACCAGCGCACTTCTAATGTCGAACAGTACAAATATTGTTAGTCTCGAAAGTATACATGGTAGATTTTCATAATATGTTTACAATTCTCCGCAATTTGCTTTCTCTCTCTCCCTTTCTCTCTCTCTCGTTCTCTCTACGAACTTACGTTACTAATCATTATTTTTTTCTTCTCCTTTCCCCCATTTTCTCTTTTTTTAGTCCTTTTTTTATTAAACACTGCTGAAACCGTGGTTTGTTATCCTTTTAAAGTTGATTCCTGAAGCGAGGCGGCGCTGCAGACCTCGGCGCAAGCGAAATTTGTCTCACACAGTAGAAATCTGCAATACGACAAAACGTAGATTAAAAAAATATATACTGATAAATTAGTGCTTCGTAATTTCTCGTTGATTCAACACTTCACAGTTTTCTTTGGAAAAGAAAGAATATATGGTATATGCAAAACAAAAATTATCAATTACTAAGAAGGTTCAGGTCTGCCGATATATAGACGTTAGTTGTGTTATTTAAAAGAATATTCGCAAAAACTTACCTAATATTCCTCACAGAAATGTTTTCTTATAAATAAGAATCTTTTCTTATGATAGATCTGAAAGTACAAAAATCGTGGTGTAATATAGGAAGGACAAAGAGTCTTGTACACTGACGTTACTCTTAGAACAGGTACTTACAACTCGGTGCAGCTGCGGACTCGAATCTTTTCTGTATCTGATCGTATGTAAATTTGACGAAAGCGTCATACTGTTCGGAGAGCTTTAAATGTAAGATCTGATCATACTCTTCTCGGATTTGCGTTTCTTGTTCCTTGAGCATTCGTTCGCAAATCAAGCCAACCTGCAAAACCAAAACCTTCACGGTAATGTCTACAAAACTGAAACTTTTATATAATAATCGACGTTGTGCTCCGATGAAACAATCCCAGCGTAAACAGAAAGATAGATTCACATATATCCGGTCGAAGAGTGCAGATGAACAAAAGGTTCTACCTGTCTAAATGTGAAAAGTGGTTTTTCCTTTCCGCTAGTATTATGACTAAAGGGAGTTAACGAGGAGCCAGACGGACCAGAAGGACTGGAAGGTCCTTCCATGTCTGATGAATCGCCACTGTTGGTCTGAGGATGAAAGTGCAATTGTTTACGTCGCTGCAATCTGCGGATTTCTTCTCTGATGTTGGCTGCCATCTTTTCTGTATAAACAAACGTATAACATTTTTTTAAACGTATTATCCTATATACTTTTTATACTAAATAAGAATTAATTCTCAGCAGGATGATAATTAACGTCAAGTTTTCATCTCTTTGATGAATACTGTATTTATAATATTAAAAACAGCTTCCTGTCTTTTCGGCAATGAGAAGAACTAAACTGGAGGTAAAAAAATATTTGAATTGGTAAATTTGAAAATTGGAACAATCACTTGGATAAATACTGGTGAGAATTGAAATTACAAGCTTTCCAACAGAACTTAAAAGCTCGTTCTTTCATTGCTCTCACATATAGCTTCCATTAAAATTTACATTATCATATATCGCCAGCAGTAATTAACAAGTGTTTTCTTGACCGTATCTGGCTATTTTTAATAATACAGAAAATTTATTGCAAAAATAATTATTAAATAATAACACGTAGAATCATATACAATCAAACCATGTGTACGTAATTGCAAAATAAATTTGTAAAATATTTCAATCCCTTTTCTTAAGCACTTAAATATACAACTTCCGAGGGATGTCTAAATAATTTGTTTTCCAAATAGAAAAATAACCGCGGCATTTAATATTACATGCATCAAGCCATAAATCAATAATAATGTGATAACTTTGTCATTCCGGTGCATCGCGCGCTACACAGCGACGTCTCGCAAAAGATTCGGCTGACGAGTCAGTTACACGCGTAATAATTTTTCTTTTCTTTTTTTTACAGCAACTTGCCACGTCGATTGGATTAGTTATCGATTCTCTCTGGATTTACTATCCACCCGTTCCACGGTTCGCAGCTTATTTATCCTGCACCTCATTGTCAGCTGGCGCCGGCTCTAATGGCTCTTTTCGTGCATCTCGCCGATTCGTCCCGCAGGTTTAACGACTGCGCCCGCGGCGTATACCTGAGCAATGCTCTGTTACATATCTTTAAACATACTCTCTAATAGTGCCCCTCATCCCCGCTGACAAACGGACGTCAGCGATAACTTGTTCAAAAACGAAACATCACTTTCAATATATATATATATAATGATCTCTCGTGCTGTCGCTACATACATATATGTTGTGTGTATGTATATATATAATACACACAATTTTATGTCTTGTCGCGCGTGCATGGAAAGTAGAAACGCGTCCCCGGGCGTAGAGCTCCGCGCGCGCTTCCTCTCGCAGCGCGGAAAAACCGGAGGAGACGATCGGAAAAAGAAGAGAAAAAAAAGGAGGGACGAAAACTCGAATTCCTGAGCGCGCGTCCGTTACTACATTACCATATGATTTACGTGTGCGCCCCTCCCTCTCCGTCTCGCCCGCCCCCGGAGAGGACTGCGAATACGGGTTTTAAATCGCTAGAGCTTAGCCGCCCCTACTCGCCGTCTCTCTTTCGCCCGCTCCTTCCTCCTATCTCTTCACGCCCCTTCATGCTCGTTCTCTCGTGCGCAATGAAGAAGCATGCGAAGGAAAGAGAGAGAGGGAGGGAGAGAGAGAGATGGGGCGAGCGAGAGAAAGAGAACGGCAGGAAGGCGCGGGGAGGTGGCGAGGCGAGGGGAGTGGAGAGGAGAGCGAGAGACGGACAGAGATAAACACGGGGAAACGCGGCGGGTGCGACGGAGAGCGAGAGAAAAAATGGCCGTGGTCCGCGGTGTAATTACCAGGCGTCAATTTGCTGGCTATCTCGCCGAACGGCGACGGTTTCTGCGGCAGCGGTGCGCCGCGCGACGACGACGCGGACGCGCCGGGCGACGAGCACGATATCGGCATGCACCTCCGCCGCTTGTTGGGCCGGCCGTGGCTGTGCACCGGGTCGAACTCCAAGGACCTCTTGAGCGTGGCGCACGCCATGGTGCTACTGCTGCTGTCGGTGGTGGCGCGGCGTTCTCGGGCTGCTGCTTACCGTGCGTCCCGTCCCGTGTGCGACTGACACCCAGTCGCACGGGCCGTGGCCCCGGGGGGGTAGGGCGGGGCACGGGACCGTCGGCTATGGACGGCCGACCGGGGTGGGGAGGAAGGGTGGCGCGTCTCGCGTGACACTACGACACACCACGACGGTGTGGAAGCGGACGCGCACGCGGCGGAGGATCGTCGAGCGACGGTCACCGAGGTCTCCGCGTCAGCTCGCTCGACGGGGGTCGAGAGTGAGAGACGCAGGGACGGAACCGTAGGTGTGCGCGCACCCGCGCGCATGAGATCAACGCTGTCCGACGCGCAGCTCCCACTGGCAAAACAAATACTGCGCTCGGCCGCGGCAATATGGCCGTCGTTCCGCTAACACGCAGCCGATCCTCGTGCTCTCTTTCGCCACCGGCTGGCCAACTCGCCGCCGCTCGCTCCCTCTTCTTCTTCTTCCCTTCAATTGACAGGAAACTATCACGAAACATATGCGAGTGCATGATGGACGATTTGCGTTCGATAGTTCGATGGCCAATGGGAGCTCGCTCTCTCTCTCTAGGGACTTTTAAGTCTAGTGGAAAATTGGATTACAGCCGGACCACCAATCAGTCGTTTCTAGGATGGAAATGGAGGACTCTGATTGACTACGTTTCCACCGAGGGTCAAAGTCGGGCTAGAGTCGGGTCAGGGGCTCGATTCTTGAATTTATTCGAAGGAGAAACGAATGCGAAAATTCTGCTCTCATAGAAAAGTTGCAAGTTGATTGGCTATTCGCGTGGCTTTAACCAATCGACTTGCATCTTTTCTGTCAGAGCAGAATAATATTCGTATACGTTTCTTCTTCAAATGATTTCGAGAATCGGGCCCCAGAATCGGGTTGGGGTAAGCACTTTTGCGGTGGAAACGCCAAACTCGAACCTGTAGCGGGGAGCACACACTTTTGCATAAGTGCATAAGCATATGCATAAGTCCCAGTCTACAATAGAGATTTAAGCCCTAAGCCTTAGTCCCAGTCTACAATAGAGATTTAAGCCCTAAGCCTTAAGAAATTGACTAATCACAGTCGCGCATTCTTCTCATACTTGACCGTGATTGGCCAATTTCTTAAAGCTTAGGGCTTAAATCATCTATTGTAGACTGGGACTTAAGAAATTGACTAATCACAGTCGCGCATTCTACTCATACTTGACCGTGATTGGCCAATTTCTTAAAGCTTAGGGCTTAAGTCCCAGTCTACAATAGAGATTTAAGCCCTAAGCCTTAAGAAATTGACTAATCACAGTCGCGCATTCTACTCATACTTGACCGTGATTGGCCAATTTCTTAAAGCTTAGGGCTTAAATCATCTATTGTAGACTGGGACTAAATCATCTATTGTAGACTGGGACTAAAGAAATTGATTGGTTCATAGGGCCATCGCACACAAAATTGCATAGCTGCATGTGCATAGCATGAAAACCGTTTGAACCAATGAACATCGAACATTGAGTCGCCATATTGATTTACATAACGCGCTCATTGGTCCAGACGGTCTTGTGCTATGCATATGCAACTATGCAATTTTGTGTGCGATGGCCCATAGGCAAATGCATAAGAAAATGGACCAATCAAATTCGTTATGCATACGCTTATGCACTTATGCAAAAGTGTGTGCTCCCCGCTTAATGAATTTGATTGGTCTACAAGCAAATGCATAAGGAAATGGACCAATCAAATTCGTTATGCATATGCTTATGCACTTATGCAAAAGTGTGTGCTCCCCGCTTTAAGGCTATCACACAATAGGAAAGCACAGGCAATAGGAATAGGGAATAGGAATAGGGAATAGAAATCTATGTAATGCTAAGACACAATGATTCGTTGGCAATAGGCGTGCTGTCCAATCATCTGCATTTTAAAACCACGTGTCTGTCCCAGTCTCAACTGTGATTGGTCAGGTAGGTCAGGCACAGGGAATAGGGAACAGAAATCCAACGCGTCGGAAATTCTGTTCCTATTGCCTGTTCCATATTCCATTGTGCGTCGATGCACGGTTTCTGGTAAGTTAGAATTTAATTATTTCTGTTGCCTGTGTTATTCCCTGTTCCTATTCCCTGTGCTTTCCCATTGTGTGATAGGCTTTAGGGCCGTGGCACACAAAATTGCATAGCTGCATATGCATAGCACAAAATCGTCTAAACCAATAAGCATAATTGTTTTGTTTTGTGCCGATCCTTTCTGCGCATCCGCCATTATCTTGGTGTGGCCAATGAGACGGAAGTTGTATATGGCCGGTGTTCATTCGACTATGAATACCGGCCTATGTGGTAGTGTGACAGTGTAAAAGGATTTTCACACACCAAAGTAATGTGCAACGATAGTAATTTATTAGATTGCATGATCCAGAGTGTGAATCCTGCAATAGAAATGCTTGGCCTATGTATATATGCCGTTGGTAGACGCACACATGAAGCACCTAACGAGCGTGTGATCAGCGCGCTCGCGCTTGCGCCGTACGCAGCGAGATACAGAGCGCAAAGGCCACTCCGCAAGGACCGCAAGTCCGCACTCCGCAGTGCACTACTCCGCGCGCCGATAATGTCGATACTCGCGGCTCTCGTGGTCGAGCGTTGATCGCCGTACGCGAGAGTGTATGGTCGCGTGCGGGCGCGGCGCGATGTCACACTAGAGTGAGAGTATCGTGATTGCGTTTTCGGGATCCTCGTTGCTCCGGAGTGGCCGTACGTGCGTGCATCCGTGCGTGCGTGCGTACGTGCGTGCGTGCGTGCGTGCGTGCGAATCTCGTCCCTCTCTCGCGTACGCGTTCTCACTATCGTGTCCCCGTCGCGTCGCGTCGCGTCGCTCGACGGTGGACGCGCGCAGTAGGGTAGAAGAATTGTAGGTTATGAAAAAGTCGGGCAAACATTGGACAAGCGTGAGTAACGTGTCGACGGTGTGCCTGCCGAAGACGAGGCGTAATCGCGCGACGAGCCTCGGGGACGATAGCCTGTTGAACTTCAACATGAAGGAGCAGGATATACCCGAGTACCTGGAGGGCTGCGGCCTGTCGTCCTGCACGGCCAGCCTGACCAGCGACGTGTCCGACGACACGTTAGAGTTTCAGATGATGCGCGACAGCGTCAAGGAGAAGAAGTTCTCTACCGCGTCCTTCAGCAGCAGCAGCAGCAGCACCCTGGTCGACGGCAAGAAGATCGTCATGGTGATACACCCGGACTCGAACAAGCCGAAGCCGACGATCAAGAAGATACCGATCCAGGCGGAGCTGGACGTGGGCAAGGAGTTCGTCCGCTGCAGGGAGCTGTGCGTCACGAGGCTGGACCTGAGCAAGGCCAGCATCACGAATCTGCCGAGCTCCGTGAAGGAGCTCAAGCACCTGCGGGAGTTCTATCTGTACAGTAACAGGCTGGTGAGCCTGCCGTCCGAGATCGGTTTCCTGGCGAATCTCGAGGTGCTCGCGCTCAACGAGAACTCGCTCACGAGTCTGCCCAACACCCTGGCGAACCTAAAGTCGCTGCGGGTGCTGGATCTCAGGCACAACAAGCTCAACGAGATCCCGGACGTGGTCTACAAGCTCACGTCGCTCACCACGTTGTTCCTGCGCTTCAACCGCGTCAGGTACGTCAGCGACAACATACGTAACCTGACGAACCTTACCATACTGAGCTTCCGGGAGAACAAGATCAAGGCGCTACCGCCGGGAATAGGCAAGCTGGTCAATCTCCTGACCTTCGACGTCTCGCACAACCACTTGGAGCACTTGCCGGTGGAGATCGGCAAGTGCGTGCAGCTGTCGACGCTGGATGTGCAGCACAACGAGCTCCTCGACCTGCCCGAGTCGATCGGCAATCTGGTGTCGCTGACGAGACTGGGCATTCGATACAACAGGCTAACGAATATCCCAAAGTCGTTGTCGAATTGCAAGGAGATGGACGAGTTCAGCATCGAGGGCAATCAGGTGTCGCATCTGCCGGACGCTCTGCTGGCGAGTCTGTCGGGCCTCACGACCATCACCCTGTCCAGGAACAGCTTCGTCTCGTATCCGGTGGGCGGCCCGGCTCAGTTCATGAACGCCTATTCCATTAACGTGGAGCACAATCAGATCGACAAGATCCCCTACGGCATCTTCTCGCGGTCCAAGAACCTGACGAAGCTGAACATGAAGGAGAATCTGCTCAACACCCTGCCGCTCGACATCGGCTCGTGGGTGACCATGGTCGAACTGAACCTCGGCACGAATCAGCTGGTGAAGCTCCCGGACGACATACAGTGCCTGCGCAGTCTCGAGATACTGATACTCTCCAACAATCTGTTGAAACGCCTCCCGACCACCATAGTGAACCTTCGTAAGCTACGGGTGCTGGACCTGGAGGAGAACCGCATCGACATGCTGCCGAACGAGATCGGCCTGATGACCGAGCTGCAGAGGCTGATCCTGCAGTCGAATCAGCTTACCGTGCTGCCGCGCACGATCGGCCACCTCAAGAGTGTCACGTTTCTCAGCGTGGGCGAGAACAATCTCGCTTACGTGCCGGAGGAGGTCGGCAGCATGATGAGCCTGGAGTCGCTCTACCTCAACGACAACAAGAACCTGCACAATCTCCCGTTCGAGCTGGTGTTGTGCAAGAAGCTCCTTATCATGTCAATTGAGAACTGTCCGCTGTCGCACATACCGGCGGATATAGTGGCCGGTGGCCCGTCACTGGTCATCCAATTTCTCAAGATGCAGGGTCCCTACCGAAACTTGTAATTATTTTCCTATGGCTCGCGTCTTTTACGTGTATGGTCCAGAGTCACGTGAGGGCCTGAGCAGAATGACTCTGTTACACTCTTAAGACAGCCTTAAGACTATGTTTTATGTTTTACGCCCGGTCTACAATGAGTTGTTAGTCGTTAGTCAGAAGTCGGAACTATATGTCGGTCCTTTTTCTTCCACCCAGAAAGGAAAAGGATCAACATATAGTTGCGACTTCTGACTAACGACTAACGACTCATTGTAGACCGGGCCTTAAACCTTTGTCTTGAGGTAGCGCACAATAACTGTCTTACGTCTTAAGAGTACAAGACAGCCATTCTGCTCAGGCCGTAAATGTCGATTCTTAATCACGAAAGACAGAGAGAGGGAGAGGGAGAGTTACGAAGAAATTGTTCAACGATATACAAGAGAAATGTATTTATAGTAACGACGCGTCGTGGTGTCGATGTAATTTCTCATCCTAATGATCTCATTTTAAACGTATAACGCGAAAAAAAACACCACTGCGAACGTTACGCTGCACGAAATACGCAGATCACTTTGCTTCGACGTTGTTGAAAGGAAATCTATTAAGATATCTCTTTCTAATTACTGGAAGATGAAATAGTATGTAATGTAAAATAGACATGTCTTTTGACGAACAAGAGGAGGATATACGTAGTAACTCTTGTGCGAGTTTAATGAAATATTTTATTAATAAAATTGGCTCAAAATGTGATAAACACAAATTTGAAGGAATCTAGGACTACGAGCCGTGACAGGGTGTTGCTGTCTAAGTATTTTATTCTAAATTTATTGCGAAAAAATATTACCTCAGCCAGGGTTTGAACCTCCCTCTCGCTAGACGGGCATCTCAATCAATTCGACTACCGAGGCACATGGCAATATTCATCGCAATAAACAGTCTAATGTTGATTCCCAAATGCCACCTGTCGTGACAGTATTCGAAAACGAGAACTGCGCGCCGACCTAAATCGTCAGTTTTAAAACACAGTACAACGCTGCGTACAGTTTTAATGTACACAGTAAAACACAGTACAACAAAATATTTTATATAACACAGATGACAATTTTGATATTAACGTAAATTATATAAAAGATACTCGCCGTAGTATGTATTTTATATGCGCGCGCGCTTTCTGTTCGCGTTTTGTATTTATCAAAAGATGTGATCCGATGCTGATAGTATCGCTGAAGAAATACTGTATAAAAGTATATTTTTACATGATGCAATAAGTCGTTTTTTTCCTCTGTACACGTGAAACTCTACATATTAATGTATTAAGCTTGTCCATTCAAAATATTTTATTTGCCTTCGTTACAAACATATAAAATGCATTTCTACTGTTAATTGGTTTGATATTTAAAATACTTGCGCGTTTTAACGTTGCTTTTGATGTATAAATTAATTTCTACGGAGAAAGTATTTTACGAAGCAGATAAAGGGTATATCATAAGAGATAATTTAATGACTATATTGCAGTTATTTTTTAAAACTTAGTAAATTACATATAACAAATCGTTTTTATATTTCACATTGACTGAAAAAGTTAAACAGTTTAGGAACATAAGTCATAATGTCTTTGTAAACGGCAAGATTGCGCGACATGCCTGTCATATAATTACAAAGAAATAAGAGATCTTAAAGTTACTAAATAACAAAGAGATGTTAAGAATCGGCATCAATGGTATTTGCTATATTAAAAGCTTAGGTTGAAACTACAGGCGAAGAAGGATATTTTGTTAAAACATTCAAATCGGAAATTTCGTGACTTTGAGCCAGAGTTTGGCCTTTGTTTTTATCAAAGATACAGATACAAGATAAACCTTCAATTTATTCAGTGAAGAGATACGGATACAATCATGTCTCTGTATTCCTTCGATTGTTATATAGATACAAGATGCACTCGTTATTTATCCGGAGAGAAATACGGATACAGATAGTATCTGTACCTGTATCTATATTTGTATCGGTATTTATTTATTGAAAAATACCAAGCTCTACTGGCGAGCATAACGAAACGATATACGTAAATTTCTATACACATTTTCTCAGCCTTTTGATATCGTGTACGCGGTATGTTGTTTCTCATTTGTTCGTCAACGCGTGTTACCTTATAAGATACAAAATGCATTGTAGACGTAAAATTTTTCATGGGAAATCGTTCTTCTAATGTATATTCAAAATCGCTCTTCTGATGCATACAAAATGTGTATATACAAAACTACAGCTTTATCAAAAGTTCCATACTGATAATGTGACGATTATATTGATACGGCTGTAAGAGAGGTGAGGATTTATATGAAAGAAAGAGAAAAGCTGATCCACGCATATGAAACAATGGTATGCAGATGTCCTGAATTTACTTTTATTGTTGCAATTTGCAATAATGAACAACGATTCGTCGATCTTCACGGAATAATTGTAAAGTGATAAGGCTCTGTGTGCAATTATTCCTATACAAATCTATTTTGCGCAACAATTGAAGCAACGAAGCCTTTGTACTGATTTAGAATGTGCTTTCGCTAGATTAAAGAGATTCCAAGTGCATTAAAAAAAGAAAAGAGGCAAAAGTGACCCATTTTGAGAGCATTATCTTGAAGTTATATTTTGCTAAGTTCTATAAAGCAAAATATTGCATCTCTTCCCCCCTCTCTCTCTCTCTCTCTCTCTCTCTCTCAAACATCAACGTTGTTGTTCCGCCTTTGTCTTTACACAAAGAAATAGTGCCAATGTAATTACAGAATTACGTGTATTATATATCCGTGAATATTTATAATGCGCGTTATATTATTAATTATAAATAAGTATTACCGTTATATGTATATCATATAAATAGACTCGCATTTAACGATGTGCCTGCAGATCTTACGAGTCTTGGGTTCTTCGAAGATCTTTACGGCTTGTCGGTTTCTTCATTCTGAATAATTTTTTCACTTGTGTATATGTTACTGCACTATATTTCTCTATATATGTTAAATGGCGTGGCCGTGTAACATGTGTAGCTTACTTAAATGTCGAGTCTCCGTTATTGCACATTTTACACTACCTACGATTGTGTAATTTAATAACATTAATTTATTTTTTAACTCGGTCCTTTTCAGATATAAATCAAATTGAAGCTTAAACGCCATTTAGGACCTGGCATGGTGGTGGCCATTAAATTGCCGAGTGAATTATCGGACATATAACACAGATTTCCCCTAGGTGGGATCATTATCGTCTAAAAATCGCTGAACGATTTTTAGAACACGTGAATTCACTGACGATAATGATCCCACCTAGGGTTAAATCTGTGTTATATGTCCGATAGTAACGGCGCGCAGTAGAGGGTGGGAAAAGACGGTATATGGATTCATTAAGTAATTTAATGGCCACCACCATGCCAGGTCCTAAATGGCGTTTAAGTAGCGTTTCAATTAAAATTAATTTAATTAGAATTTAACGCTTCTTACGGTAGGAGATGGTTTTTATTTAGTGTGCGAACACGATAGGGATTATCGCATGCTTCGTTAATGACAATCGAAGACTGAGTCGTAATAATTACGTTTTAATACGTGTTCAATCAGGAATGTTATACCGTGATCTATCTGTTAACACGCGATACGCGAGAACGCATTCGCCGAGGATGATTTGCGAAAACGGCTTGCGCGTACGCGTCTTTCAGCATTGTTTGCAAATGCTAGACCATTCATCAGCGGCCGCCGACGTATCGGTTTTATCAATGCATTCTAATATTCAACTGACGTTTGATACTGTGAAAACCTTCCTGTAGCCGAGGGTATCAATTTCGTGAAAAAGAACGCGTCCGGTATGTCAAAGTAATCTTTGTTGTCCACGAATAGACAATAGGTGTATTTTGTAAAAAGAAATTGCAACTACTAAAGCTGTGCGATAAAATTATCAAGTTGTAACGATACGCCCTAAAATCAAGTACTGCAATTGTCCCTATATGCATGTATCCATTAACAGTCGTATTTCTTTTTTCTTTGTGTCTTGTATCATATTAACTTAAGCTTCTGTTTTTGTGTGCAGCAGTTCCAGCTAGAAAGGGACATTTTCTTCGACGTCTACCGCTAGCCCGGTAATCAATTTTACAATTACGTATGTATTCGTGATTTTTCTTTCCTCGATCTTTGATGTGACAAAACTTGATGTTTCATGTTGCCACTGTAATTTATGATTTGCCAGTTTTATCATTATTCAAATAAATGATCTAAAGAGCCTTGATGTTAACGAGTAGCAAAAGTAGGCTTTAAGACTGAGTCCCACAATCAATCGGAACCATCTGTTATCACAAACTATGCCCATTTTTTAATTGTGTCATTGTTTCGATTGTATCAACCACTGTCGCTTCACAGTCATCTCAGTTTTCGATGTCTCTCGCAAGGCTTCAGTTCGTCAATCTCACGTTCTCTAAGCTTCGTTTGGTGAGCGGATTTCATTTCCCCTCGCCGGTTAGTTTTCCAATTTTCATTTCTAACTTTCAAATATTTTGCATACTACGAATATCAGCAGAATTTTCCTCTTGAAAATTACACTATCTTTGTACACTTCATTTCTTCAATCCACCTTACGCTCGTACGGAGAGGCTTGAGCTCCACAATCCTTTAGGCTTGACAAGCCTACAGACTCAAGTTCAATACTGCGAACACTCGCACATAGTGATACAATACATCACACATGCATGCAATCTCATGGAATAAACTTGCAAATCCTTGTAACAAGGATTCTTACTTTAAAATGCAAAGCCACGAGACAAGACCCATCACGATTTTTGCGAGGTGTGTATTCCGCTCTTAAAAAAAACAGTTACATATTATCTACGTTACATGGTTCTTTAAAACCAGACTTAAGTCTACATCCCTTCATCAACGGGTGTAGAGAATAAGTAATAATACTTTGTTTGATTAATTTTAAATAGATAATTTATAAAACGAGTGTAGAGAAAGTAACAATTTGTTTTATTATTAATTTAAAATAGATAATTTATAAAACCAATAAAACCGATTTATTACTGTAAAATCTGTTTTTATTATAAAATTTGTTTTTCCTGAAGAGCGGAATACACGCCTCGGAATTAATTAGCGTTCATATACGATGTCTTACGTCAGTAGTTATGGATGTTATTAAACTTAATTAATGGTGACATGTAAACGTAGTCTATAATTATACACTTTATGTATATACCTATCTATTTGTACGCTGTAATATATGTTTTTTTTCAGAATACCGGAATACGCACCTCGCAAAAATCGCAATAGGATTCGTCTCTTAGCATTCCTCTTCCCGTTTTGAACTAAGAATCTTTATCGCTGAAAGGTCGTGGTGATCGTATATTACATATATATATATATATAAACTACATTAATTTACAAGTTCTTCCTATAAAGTGTACACGCACATACATTTTCGACATGGTCGGACTGCAACTATTAAAAGTGACCAGTGATAAACGGTATTGGAGATTTGCTCTTGGTTGCAAAGACTATGTTATCTTGTAATCTGTTACGGTGATACGAGCGAATGCGTTGCGGACAGGGAGAAAAGACATTGTAAAACTTAATTAGAGAGTACAACTTAAAAGTGCACGTCGGGGCGAACGTTACGAAAGGTTCTTGACAATTAATGAGTATGTCAGATATTTTAAGTCTGAAAGTGAAAACTTCTTTCATTGTATTATAGGATAAAGGTTGCGGTATAACGGTCGCCATGAGCTCCCACTTACGCGAACTATTAATAGTGAAATGCGTCTTATCGAAGACGTAAACGGTTCATCGATATTAGACAAAAGATTTTCTTTTTTTAAAAGTATGACGTAATTCACTCGACGTTATGTAATGTTATGTACAGAAACAGCGCGCACTGTGCGCGTTACTTGGAATGGAGAATTTTAGTAGTAATAGTAGCTTTTATTGTATATTTGTTGCTTTTAACGCTACGCGTTACATATTATCTACAGTTATGAAGATGTATGTCGATGCTTTTGTAATTTTGTCTTTTATTATATATATATATATATATATCTCTCTCTCTCTCTCTCTCGAGTGTTGAGCTATTGTTGCAAAATGTTAAATGAAGGAGTTAAATGAAAATGTTAAACCACGCGATATCGATACATACATATATACGTATGTAAATATATTTTAATTTATATATATATAAATAAATTTATATATATATAAATTAAAAATAAATAACTTTTTAAAAGATATTAAAAATTTCTTAAATCTTGGAGTGCACTTTCAAGTTTAACAAGGAAAGTTTCCAAGGAAAATTTATATAATTAAATGTTACGAACATTGGTATATTCTACACGTAAAGTCTACAAGTTTAAAGAGTACGTTAATTAGATTGATTAATGTTTTTACGATATTATCCGAACGACGTGACGTGGCGACCGTTTTAACAAATTAGTTTTTAGATATTGTAATGAAAGTCTTCGCATGTGGAACATCCATCGGGCCATTCACATGTAAGTTGCCAAGATCGTATTGATACGTTACGCTTAATCCATTGCGATAAACTGTTAAACAGTTTTAAAACAAACAAAACAAACTGATAAACACGGCACATAGTCCACGTGGTTTGCAAACGAGAAATTTACCGTGACGTTTGCGAACGCCCAGTACACTATTCCGAGAGAAAAAGAAACGCTTGTCGAATAGTCTATTGCGCAACACACGATACCGTGTTAATTGTGTACAATTCCAAGAATGTAATATTAAATGTAATTCAATGTACAATATGCGGGACGCTGTATAAATATTTCTAAAGACGTAAATATAAAATATTTTCCCGAAATTCACACGTTTCTCCGCTTTGCGCGATCTTTCTCCGATTCTCCAGACGTTGGTTTAAAACTGTCGCGTATTTTCTTTAAGTTAACATTTGATTCTAGAATCAAAGTATTCCTGGGTCACCTTTAATTATCGAATTTGTACGAATGTACTTGTCTTAGGCTTGGTTTTACATTTTCTAGTCTAATTGTTAACCAGATAAACCAGGTTTGTCGATTATCTGTCTCTTCTTAGATAATAACATAGAAAAAGATGGGGAGTCGACTAACTTCTGATTAACAGTTAACCAGAAAATTAAAAAACCGGGCCGTAGGGGCGATTGTTCCAACTTATTGGTAAGTTAAGTATCGGTTAAATAATATATGCATATGTCTTTAGTTTTCTTTCAAATTAGACAAAGACATATAATTTATAAAACATACATGTAATTTAAGTTTTACCAAGAAGTTGAAAGAGTCAGCTTTTAATTGTTAATTGTTACTTATGTTCACGGTACTCTTGAAATCTGATGGAAATTTCGCTGCGTTTCTTTAACGTGAAATTTTTTAACGTCTCGTTGCTCGTGAGCTGTAATCATTTAAATACGTTCTTCGTTATTGTTGCAGTGTCCATGAAGTAGCCAGTAGAGAGAGGAAATAATTTTGATTACCGTATTCGCAGAGAACACAATACTTCTTTCAAGGGACAACTGAGGATAATTCTTCGGAGTCGTAAACATTACTTTCTTCTTAGGCACAAAATGCGACTTGTCGATCTTCATTTGTTCTGCAAAACAAATACTCGTTTGATATCCGAAAAAATCGATCGAACGGTATTCTAGTAAAAGTAATACGCCAAGGAAATATTTTGCATCAATCAATTACATAAATTGATTTAATAAATTTGAATGGTCTATCATCAAAATTATATATAATGGAACAATCTCGTACTTGTGTCGCCTGGGTCATTCTTACGTTTGACTTTATTTTCATCATTAGAACTTATTTCATCGTATACCGGCATCGATATCTCGAGTTTGCACACAGACTCTGAAGGACGTATCAGTCTAGAATTAAGTAACAAAATTTTCGTACAAAGTTATTACATAATTGTTTTGAAGCGTCAATTACACACTCGAGTCGTGTCTAATATAATACACGCACCTCAGTAATTCTGTAATATCATCCGAGATTAATTGTAACCTTCGTAATTTCGTCAAGGCGCTCTCCACCTTTTGTTTTACATTTGTTCTCTGACTAAGATCAATTATTTCCGCCTCGATAGCCTCGATTTCACACATGAGATCGATCAACTCGCAATTGTTTTCCTCATCTAATGAAATAATGTTTAGTTTAAGGCCGGTATTTATAGTCAAATCTTATATTCAAGACTGTCTTAAGATCATCTTTAGATACTCCATAGCTAATAAAATGTTCCATACAGCATCTTAGACCGGTATTCATAGTCGGATCTTATATTCAAGACCGTTTTGAATTTATCTAAAGATGCTGTATGAAATTCATTGACTATGGAGTATCTAAAGATGATCTTAAGACGGTCTTGAATATAAGATCTGACTATGAATACCGCCCTAAGCAATTTTTAGCAAGTAATATTATTTCATTGATGTAGATATTAATTTTTTATTGTTTAATGTATAAAACAAGTATTAGATTAGGAACAAAGAACGATATATATTTAAATAATTCAGCCGGTCAATTTAGTCTCCGATTAATTCTAAGTTCAGCCGAGGTTATCCAAAATTTTTAATCCTTATACGATCTCACCGTCTTTACAATTGCTCCTTAGCCTCGCACGGTTCATGACGAAGGGGTGATATTGAAAGATAGCACAGAAATCGTGCTCGTGCGAGAATTGCCAAACCTGTTCGCACAAGGAATCCTCCAGCGACCACGCTTGATAATTTAATTCCTCCTAAATTGAAAGACAAGAAATCAAATTCATACGAATCATATCCTTTATAAATCGATGCAACCACAAATTCTCCCACATTCTTTAGAAGAATTTGAGATTGTTTAGTTGAATTATTTTTGGCTTATCACCAGCTTTCGTTGTTCTGCCTCCAGTATCTTTTCCTTCTCCGCAAAGCTGTTCTGGTACACACTTATTGCGTCCTTCATAGCTCTCAATTCTACGCTTTTGTTTCCGTACGTGATCAGAGGAGAATCGGAGGCGGGATCTCTCGCGTTATTCGCGGAAGCGACGTTCTTCGAATCGATCATCTCCGCCGTTACGCCACATCAAGGTAAGATGGAGTTATCTAAAATTATATATGGGTCTATTCTGTGTTCTAACGCCGATGACTAGACACAATGTACCGCGGTGTCTTTAACGTTTGACATAATTTCACATCTTAAATTTCGACGAACCTTACATTTGCGGGTACTCGTATAAGTTCCTTACCTGAAGAGGACCAGTATTACTGGCCGAAACGTTGTAAAGCTATAATAGAGTAAAGAAACGAAGTGCCAGCAAGGTCGTTTCCACATTTTAATTTATTTCTTAAATTCTCGACTGGCGTTAACGTATCTGCCGTTGGATTCCCAGTCAGAAATGACTCGTCGACTCGAAACGACGTCGATCCACGACCCATGCAGCACCAAAGCTTTCAGCAACATTTCAGAAAACATTGTTGCAATGTTGCAGTGTTTCTGAAATGTTTCTGAAAGCTTCGGTGCTGTATGGGGAGTCATTTCTGACTGGGTTGTTAAAATTATATACGTTGCCGCTACGAAATTGCGGCTGCGTACACAGACAGGCAGGAATGCCTGGACATTTCTGTAACGTATTCTATAATTACAGAAATGTCCGGGCATTTCTGCCTGTCTGTTTGCTAAGTGTATCCGGCGGTACGACTCGAGTTTTACGTTTAAATCGACGCGTAGATTTAATTTGAAGACGCTTCTCATGAGCCGACTTCGTCGCGATTCGATCTCCGCGAGGTGTCGCCGCGCGATTGGCCCTCCCCGGGCCAATAAGCCTGCGTCTCGCCGCGAGTCGGCGAATAACGAGGAACCGTCGCTCTCCGCGGACGCGCTTGTGAACCGCGCCTGTTGCGAGCGTCGAGAGTCGAGAGATTCCTCGGCATGTAAACAAAAGAGCACCAGAGCACGAGACCGCACGCGAGATCTCGAAACGTGATTGTGTTCGTGCGCCCGTGCCTCGAGTACGCGATTATTGGAGGTTATACGCGGGAACGAGCCGACCATGAACTCGAACGGGATAAAGTTGCTGAAGAAAGCGTAAGTTTTCGCCCGACGTGCTCTCGCGAGAGGCCGGCGAGGCGGATTCCAAGCCTAACCTTGAGATAATTTGCGTGTCCGACGACGGGGTCGAGACGAGAGGTGGGAACGTATCGTCACGGCTCCTCTGATCTTTTCTCTGCGTTTCAGCGACCCGTATCCGCAGGGGATGCGCTGCCAGAAGTGTCTGGAGATGGGGCACTGGAGCTACGAGTGCAAAGGCAAGAGGAAATACCTGCACAGGTCGTCTCGCACCTCGCAGCTGAAGAAGATTCTCGAGAAGCAGGAGGATGGCACTAAGTATGTCGCTTAAGCTCTTCTCCTGGTGTAAACGTCCCAGGAGCAGGACCGGTTCTGGCCCCCTTCCCAGTCAACACCGAGCATCAGTCACGTTGCGTTTGTTACAATGTTTTGCTCAACAATGTAAATACAACACATTGTTATATTACATTGTTGAGTGAGAAATTAAGGCTGTGGTCAAGCTGCCACTACAAATGCTTCGAAGCACATCTCTTCTCCTTTTGTCTTTATTGAAAGAAAGGAAAAGAATACTTTGAAGCGTTCGTAGCGTCAGTTTGACCGCAGCCTATAACATAGATACAACGTAACTGATGTTCGGTGTTAACTGGATTACTAGTCTGCGCGCGAAAACAATTTTTATGCTACGTGTAGGGTGTTTAGAGGAGCGGAACGACAAAGACATGTACATACAATATTGCAAAACATTTGAACAACTTACCGTGTTTATTCAAGGGTTGGACTCTTCCTTGAATTGCTGCTGAGGCAGTATCTAATATTACGAAATAAAATTTGTGTATTTTTAATGCTATTTTTACGCTTGCATGCGGTTAAGCATTGTACGTTTATCAGACCTGCCCAGGAGGTTTATTCTCATTGAATTATATATCTTTTTGAGGGAGAAGAATATATCTCAATCAAGGAAAGAAAGACAGGTTTCACTTAACGAGATAGATTATACTTGAAGCAATAGTGTTCCTTTTTTTTCGTGAAAGCTGCAGATAAGCAAAGAAAATATATAATTTTGAATATTAAATCTCGACGCAAGACGCGATATCTCAAGCACAGCTTGAATGAACTCGATAGATTTAACTAACGCATTACTGTGTTGGGTTTCAGTGAGGAGCAAACTAAGAAAGTGAAGAAGAATCACGTCAGGAAGAGAATAAAGAAGGAGGAGGAGAAGGAGGAGTCGAGCAGCTCGAGCGACTCTAGCTCCTCCAGCAGCGAGAGCAGCGAAAATTCTAGTAGTAGTGAAAGTAGTAGCAGCAGTTCCTCGTCGGACAGCGAATCGGACTCTAGCGACAGTGTGTCTAGCAGCAGCAGTAGTAGTAGCAGTAGTAGCAGCAGTTACGGTTCTTACAAGAAGAAATAGCACGGATCGTGAGGTGCGTCGAGGCAAAGCGCTCCTCTCGGCTGATCATTGTTCCGTTTGAGCATAATGGCATTTTGCCTTCGAGCAGAATAACTCTAGAGAGAAAAGAGCAAGCTGGCGCGAAATAGAATACTTTCGAGATTTTTTATGCCCGTTGTACGAGGTACATGTGTAATTTGTAAAGAAATAATTCTTACCTCAACGCATAAGACGTGCTGGAAGATATTTCGATAATTACTTTTCATTTTTTAATTTTATAATCTAATCATGTTAAGTTGACCCGTACATTTGTCTCTGCTACTCAGTTTTTGTACGATGTATGTTGGAATGTATGTGCAACTTATTGTACGAGACCATTTTTCTTCGCGGGATTATCTCTGTGAGAAATCGCGTTGCATTGATAGATAATCATGTTTCTTTCGTAAAGGCTTTAAAACGTTTAATATTGAATGTGAATGTGTGACTCAAGTGCTAGTTATCGTGTAGAATTAATATTTAAAAATACACTTATCTCCCCGATTTACGCGATACCTTTTACGTAGCAAAAATCCCTCCGTTTGCATGGAACTTAAAATCAAATGAATCGAGCAAAGAGAACCTTGTTAATACATGCGTTATAGCACATGGACCTCTGTACTTCTTTTTTATTTTTTTAGTATATTGACTTTCGCTTAAGTTTTTTTTTACTGGCTGACTCTATGCGTTAAAAACCACGTGCAACGAATATTCTGCGTAAATTGAGGGAAGAGTGTAATGTATTATATATTTTTGGTACTGCTGTACGCACATATAGATTCATATATGATAGAAACGATAACAGTTTGATTTATTAGAAACAATATATTTAATGACGGAATCGCAATAATTGTACGACAGTATTAAATAGAGATATTAAAAAGATGTTAAGCGTTCTGTCAGACATTTAAATGTATCGACATGCAAATTTTATGTGTGTGAGGCTGCGGTCAAGTTGTCGCTTCAAATACTTCCAAGCACTCTTTTTCTCCTTTCTTTCGGCAAAGATAGAAAGAGAAGAGAAATACTTGGGAGCATTTGTAGCGGCAGCTTGACCGCAACCTGAGATTAACAAAAATGCTGTTACGTATAGTTCAAATACATGTACAAAAATGGAACGCCGCTTTTCTTCGGATTAATCTTCGATACCTTCGGGCAGAGTCTGTACTATTACTTTCCTCCTTGGCTCGTAGACAAAATTGTTCGTCTTGAATATGTCGCTTTCATAAAACGAATGTAGATTGTGTATGTCAATTTGCATCGCCTGCAACCATAAAACACTAGTATCAGCGCGAAACGCGCTTTATCACCTCACACGGGGATGTAAAAATGAATGGAAGCTGTTGTGTGAACACATTTAAAAAAATGTAAGATAAGATTCTTGTGTAAACTATTTTTTTAAACTAGTTAGATAACAAGATAAAGAAGTTTTTTTAGCCCAAACCCCATTTCGACATAATTTTTAATTAGTTGTATACTTGTTGAATCCTCGCAATCGCAAATTTAAAATTGTTTGCATTACCCGTTCCAATAGATCCTTCTCCGAAATCTCAACTGTCGTGATACGTCCGCCGTGCAGAGCTTTTTGAAATGCCAGAGTATCCAATGTGATTTGTCGTAGTATGTAATACAGGAGTTCGCTGTGATCTTTCTTGTAAGATAGGTATTTCTGGAACGTCTGTAACAAGATGTGCGATGTATTGAATGCAGTCTTTAAGATTGCGAGCAGAAAATAAACGCAGCTCGAAAGGGCAGACGAACGAACGGAAGTGAAGGAATACCTGACGCATAGATTTCATAACGGAATATTTCTGCGTGTCGACGAAACTGTCGAGGACTATCCTAATGGCCAGGTTCATATCACTCTCCTGAACGTGGTCCCGCAGATGTATCTTGGCACTAGCCTCCGCCATACGAATGATGCTCTCTATATGGCGCACGGTAATCGGCAAACTCCCAGTCGCCTAAAACGTAATAACGAAAACGATATTGCGACGCATAATACTTTGTACATTCAATAGTACCTAACATGTTCTTATTAATCTGTTTTTCTTTTTCAGGAATACACATAAACAAGACAGTTTTGTTTTGCTGGCTCACCAAGCTTTCCTGTCTCATCTGGCTGTATAGCTTCGCCACTTTGTCCTGATCGATGCTGGTCAGCTTCGGGTGTACGTTCTGCTTCGCGTAAACGATATACTTTTTCAGAAGGTCCTGTGGAATGCACAGACTTTGCGTGGCGGGATCCAACACTATGGCTTGCGCTCTCTCCGGTCTCTCCGCATTATCCGTCGGATGATGCTTGATGTGCGAGTTGACGACGAATTTGGCCAGATGACGATCCTGCATGGGATCGATCTCGTCCTTGACTATGCACAATACGTCAAATCGCGAAAGAATCGGCTCCGATAGATCCACCTGTATGCAATTTAATTATTTAATACATACATAATTATGTGCTCTGCAGATTTATAATTTTACATTCTCGAGAAAGATTCTGTAATTCTATAATTTCACATTTCTATTATCGTGTATATTTTATGTCTCATAAATTTCATTTACGAGTCACGATTTTGTGCGAGCGCAAAATAAAAGAATTCTAAAAGCACATACATTATCCGCAAAGGTCATACTGGGGTCGTATCGACCACCGATAGGATTAGACGCGGCTATCACTGCGCATCTGGCGTGAAGAGACGTAACGATGCCGGCCTTCGAAATAGAAATACTCTGCTGCTCCATAGCTTCGTGAATAGACGTTCTGTCCTGATCATTCATCTAGAAAAAATGGAAATTATATCACAATTGCTTCTAATAACTACACTCGTCGAATTATAACAAATTATACAGATGTATGCAGTTTCGATACTACATGTGAGTAGTCTACATAGATGAGATTTATAAATAGTAATTATACTCCCTTCTCGCCCTTTATCCCCCTTTTTAACAATTATTGATAATATAAAAATATGATACTTATAATATTGTCAATATATGTATTACTAATCACATAAATTATACAAGTTTGTTACTTTATCGAACTCATCGATGAGACATATTCCGTGATCGGCGAGGACCAAGGCTCCAGCTTCCAAGGTCCATTCTCTGCTGATGGGCGATCTCCTAACGTAAGCGGTCAAACCAACGGCCGAAGCGCCCTGACCTGTGGTGAAGATAACCCTCGGTGCCACCTTCTCCACGTACTTCAGAAACTGCGATTTAGCGGTGCCAGGATCTCCGCACAGCAGAACGTTTATATCACCGCGAACCTTGTGTTTGTTACCTGCACGTGGCAACAAATGCAAATTAGAGAGAAGAGAAAATGTATAAAGATAATTCGCAGAAGAGATAAGTACCAGGGTTCTTCGGCTCGCCACCGAATATCGCCAGCGCCAAGGCTCTCTTGATGTTCTCGTGGCCGTAAATCGAAGGAGCGATACTCGTGACTATGCGATCCGCGATGCGTTGATCTTTACTCAGAGCGAGTATACTCGAGATGTCCTCCTCTGTCAGCGAGTCTACAATTTCCTTCGAGTCTTTGACAAACAAATGATTAGCTAATAACACCGTGGAGAACACCGGGAAGCCCTGTAACACAGAAGAGACGCAGTCGAAATTTCATCCCCGTAAAACGCTACTCTCGCAAGCCGCACGATAGATTATAAACGGCGATGAGTGTCACGCGAGATAATGTAATTACTTGATACGTAAAAAATTTAATCTCACCTGTTCAGTGTTCAAAGAACCGTCGTAATTATTGGTATAAATAGCTGTAACGTCTATCTCGTCCCCTGGTTTACAACGATCGCAGAGATCGGACAGCAGAATGCAATCTTTGCTGCGCGGTATTCTGCCGGCGGGTATTCTACCCGGGGATTCTTGTATCGTTATCTTCTGGTAATTTCTGTATATAGTTTGCTCCATATTGATCTGAAACGCGCGACACGTTCAACAAATATAACTAATGCCCGTTCAACACCTAGGGATGACCCATGGCTCATCCGAGTGAGTAAATATATGGACAAAGATCGTCGTATTGAGACCGTTTATGGACCATTTGGTGCCATTTCTACATAACAAGACAGTTAAAAATCATAGTGAAATCATACTTAGTACGATTGTCATACTAAAATGCCCGTGTAAACTTCTTCACTAGGATGAGCCATAAGTAGGATCATCCCTAGGTGTAGAACAGGCATTAGGGTAGTAATCTTCAAATAATTGGCTGTAACGATCAACCGTAGAAGTCTTCGACTTACCGTGAACGGACCGATGCTCTGACACTCGGGACAAGAGCCCGGTTTAACTTCTGTGTTTTGAGATTGGACGAACGGTCCGAGAACGTAGTTACATTTCGTACAATCGTACTTCACCACCGACAATTGCGGCAGGACTCCCGTGGTCGCTGTTACAACTCCAAGAGTTCGCACCAATTGATTCAAGTGAAGCTTTCTATCGTAAAGAGTAAAAGCGACGTAACTTCATACGTATTCTATTTGAGATTGTAAGCTTGACAAAATGATATGAATGAAATGACGCGTATAAATCCTTGCCTGAACGTGCGTAATTCTTCAATCAACGGCAATTCCGATATTCTCACATGAATTTCCGTCGTGACTCTCTCGTAACTGGGGAAAATCGTAAGCACCAGTTCCTTCGCCACTTCGTCAAATATCTCGAGCATTTGGAATGGCGCTTCTGGTAAAAAATAGGCCAAAACATGTTCCTTACTGGCGAGAATGGGAAATTCCACAACGAAACTGGACTATTAAAAAATAAACATAAAAAAGCTCCTATAAAATAAAAACTGTTAAATAAGATGAATTAGAAATGAGAACGTCTCTTTAAAAATAAAATCTCTGCATAAATACAAAAGATTGCCTCAGAATAATTCTATAATTCCAAAGTATCGCGAAAAATTAATTAAATCAACGGACAATAAAGTATATAAAAATACAGCTATAGAAAACTGCATATCATTAAAAATATAGCTTTTAATTTAAGCTCTCATTACGTACAAGAGATTCGATGTAGTACCTGATTACTCTCACACATATGGCGAATACGCTCCTTATACATGTACTGTCCCTTGGAATTGGTATGAGTGCGAAGGAAACTCTTAAAGCGATTTGAAATTTCTGTTCGTGGCCCTAACATCGATACCCACTCCTTTACCGAGTGTCCTTTGGTATCTTCCAAGTTTTCGATAGATTCGATCATCTGAAATAACGAATGCCACTCGTTACTTAAATCGCAAGATACCTTTATTTCGAATGGTTGAAAGATTCTTACCTCCGCATCTTCTAATATGCCAGTGGCAGCCTTTTCGGCCATACGACGTTTACGTGCTTGCACGTCTTCCTCGTCGGTCTCATCTAGAAACACAAAAGGGAAAATAACATCAGGAATTATCTGACGCCAGTAAATGACGGACGATTAAAGCTTCAAATCGACCATGACTGGCGATGTGTTTTTAACACAGAAGGTTTATTGCGAAAAATATTACCTCAAGAGGGAAAAAGTCTGCGTAAAAATATTTCACAATTTTGCAAATATACTTTCGGACTTTCACAGGACCGTTACATTAATTCACTTGTATACGCAAGTCGTTCTACCTTTAGATACCAAAAAGTGGGCGAGGTAAAATTACCGTAAAGAAGATCGCGGTCATCCCTTATGATACCAGCCGCGCGATCTCTTTTTCGCATTTCCACTTCCGCGGCCATACGCTCGCCCTGAGACATCTCCGAGTAGTCTTCGTCGTCTAATATATTGGGATCGTATCTGTCCAGTGCTGACATAGGCCGATAATCTCTATTGCATAACAATATGTAACTTAATTATTTTCAAGTATTTCTTTCCCGCACAAAATAATTAAGCAGGATACTCCTGCTTTATAACATTCGTTGGACGCTGAACGATGTATACTTTTGTATATATATTCTAAGTTACAGTTTACATTAATAAGTGAATACTTTAAAACTGTAACATCCTTACGCCTCCATGTTATCTCCGAATAATTCCTCCCCCTCCTCCTCTTCCTCATTGTTAGCATTGTTCTCTCCATCAAGTAAATCGGACTCGTCCTCAAATGGCTCGTCTATATCAGGTGCAGGAGACGTTTGCTGGCTCATTGTCTCGTGTCGCTCAGAATGCACAGGAGAACTCGGTTGACTCTTGAGTGTGCATGAAATGAAATGTTACACGTGCTTCACTTATCTTAATTGTGAATTCAGTAAATCATATTACTATTCAATGCATATGCACATGTATACACGTTGACAATGTATAACTACATGCATTATTAATTGTTGTTTCCAAGATGTTTATATAACGTATATTACATCTGTACGATTGTTTCTCTTTATTTGTATCTAGAATTACGACGTGCTGTTTTATCCGCTTCTACAAGCGCGTGTGTACATGCGTGATACGCGTCGATAGTACGATAACTTTTGAAAGTTTACCATCTTGCTGTTTAGGATACGCCTTCGTCGCGAAAGAAGTCCTCCTGTATCGCAGGATGCTCGATAGCTACGAACTTTTCCCTACTCTCGTAACCGACGAGAGCCGAGAAACCCCAAATGTTCGCACAAGCCGTCAAGCCGTCAAGCCCGAAAGCATTGGGCACTTGGCGGGAATACTTTGTAAAGCTTGTGCCATAGAACACGTATGACAGCAGAGAAAGGTAAGCGTGTCGCGTGAAACCGGGCCAATAAAATGCGTTTGGTCCAGTGCTGACGAATCAGCTCTCGCCTCACAAGAATACACCGTGTGAACTTCGCCGCGAAAACACCAAGTGGAAATTTTATCGGCAGAGTCCGAAAATGCGCAATGAAATAGTTGCAAAAGTAAAAATGGGCGTCAAGCCCGTATCAGACTACGGATTGGGATTAGATTGAAATTTAACCAATCACAGTAAAGTTTACTAATCTCAAGTTCAGTAATTTTTACTCTGATTGGTCAAATTTCAATCTAATCCCAATCCCAATCCGTAGTCTGATACGGGCTTAAGGGCGCGCGAAACAGGATGTGTTCGAAAATGGATTTAGTTACTGCCAGTGAAAACAGTATAGTTGGTAGCGATGAAAATTACTGGTGCTGCGTTTTTCGCACGCCAGTAAAGTCAGTAAGGCTGGGTCTACATTGGATGTCGTAAGTCGAATAATGAACTGTGATTGGTCAATTTCTTCCGACACGACTTACGACATCCAATGTAGACCCAGCCTTACCCCTGGTCCACAATCTTGCTTTAAGTAAGTTGTAAGCCTTAAGCCGTAAGAAATTAACCAATCACAGGTGAGAGTGAGGGGAATAAATGCCTGCGATTGGTTAATTTCTTACGGCTTAAGGCTTACAACTTACTTAAAGC